GATCTGGGGTGCATAAGGAAGGCAGAGGGGGGTGCATAAGGAAGGCAGAGGGGGGTGCATAAGGAAGGCAGAGGGGGGTGCATAAGGAAGGCAGAGGGGGGTGCATAAGAAAAGGAGACAGAAGGAAGTTTGATAGCAATGGGTTGACACGTGCACCGGACTTTTTCTTCCTCCAAAATATAATTTTCTCCGCCAGCTTCTAATTTTAAGTGTTCTCTTTTTCAAAAGTGCACAATTCTCCCCCCCCCCCCAACCACACCAAATTTTGATTAAATTCGTTCAAAAATCCTTCAAGATTATCAAATCTTTACTTTTACTTGGTGCTGAAATATAAGTGAAATGAAACACTAACACCGCTGAAATAAACAAAAATTCACGATTTCCCTTAGCTACTAAGCCAATAAGGACTGGGGAATTACCATTAGCGGTTCCAAACTAACCACAGCCATACCAATGATCTCTTCTCGCTCTTTGGTCTTCTTTTTATCATTAGCAACTCGAATGGACGCAGACCTCGATGAAGAAGAAGACGTCGATATTGAGGGGTACGATGACGATGACAGCACTTCACAAAGTTACACAAAAAAGGAGAGCTTTGGATCGCAACAAATGCTCGGAAGCGAGCAGGATTCGCAAGAAATGTCGCAGTTTGCCAGCATCCTACTTCAAGATCTTCAACACAGTGACAGCGAAAGCGAAGAGGATGATTTCCCGTTTGGCGACGGAGATGACGAGGAGGAGGAAGACATTGAAGAGGAAGAACAGATAAGCTTTTTTCCCGGAGGAGATGAAAGCAATGAGGCAATAAAGGGAGAGTTACCGGAAGAACTTTAAGGTTCAGCTCAGTTAATTCAAAGAACTGCGTTTGTATTTTCTTTGACCTGTGAAACGGGTTTGTTTTCCTTGCTCCCGACGCTACGACGTCAGCCTGGTGTCAAACATCACGTGCAGTTGCATGGTTACTTAGCCCATAATAAGTAGCGGACTCAATAGGTTTATTTTTGAAACAAGACTGATTATGCTACCCCCATAGATCTTCACCGTTCTCATTGAAATTTAACTAGAGATCTGTCAATGAAGGAGTCCTATGCTGTTGATAGACTGCTTATTGTAAATAATCCTGTTCTGTATTGTTACATTCACACGACGTGTGCTATTCCTTTACAAACTGATTCTCTGAGAAGGGCATCATTTTGATCGGACACAAAGGGAGGAGTTTAACGACTTCAGTGCACAACTCAGCACTCCTGTTTCTGCACTAAACCAATGTAAGTTTAATTTCTGTCAGTTTGTCAGGACACGACAGTAGAATGGAAAGATGCTGATCTTTTATGTATTGTTTTTTTTTTTTTTTTAATCCTGTTCTGTATTGTTACATTCACACGACATGTGCTATTCCTTTACAAATTGATTCTCTGAGAAGGTCATCATTTTGATCGGACACAAAGGGAAAACGCAAGTCAAAGCACATTGTATGTAAATTTATATTTGACATTTTTCATGTAAAATAAAACACTTTCAATTGTGTCGGTACTAATGTCCTCCTGTAGGCCAGATGTATGACGAGTCTGCATACCCGTAGAACGGGGGCCGATAGTGAGGGCGAGGACAATTCAATACAAGAGGAAACAAAGGGAAAGTCCCCTTATAGGGAGAGTCTCTCCCTTCCCCAAATGCTACCTCTGCATCTCCATGAACGACACTTCCATCTTTCTAAATTATTTTTTCTCATTAGTCCCGGCCATTTAATTGTTGAAAGGTGCTGAGGGAACGAGAGAGTCCAGTGGGTATGGGATAAGCGTCAGAGCTGCGAGAGAAAAAATTCAAACAGAATAGAGCCATTTTTTGCTTATTCGCTTAAATGGTCAATATAATCAAGTTAATCAGTCGCTAAGATTCTTCCCACGCACTCCTCCACGGGCACTATTTACTTTTCCTGAGCATTACGCACCAGTTCCCTCGGTCGTAATAATGTTCCTCCAGTGTCACGTTACTGAGGCGGCTACAAAGGTTTCGGAGCTCGCCATCTTGAAACACGTGATAATACCTGTGGTACACGTGACCCTCTGTACCTTCTCCTGACCCTTCAGCGTCTTTTCTCCGTTTCTCATGTTGTTTTCCTGGGCCGCTGTATTTCCACGGCACAAATAAATCTTGTTGTTCAAACGAATCCCGGCTAGCATTAACCATCAATCTCGATGAACAATTATGATCTAAAGTTTCGGATTTATTAGGGGATGGTTCGTTATTTGAGGGAAAGTTTTCGATGGTTTTGCTTTCTTTCAAAAACTCGTTTTTGTTACTTAGGTTTTCCTGTTCGGTGCGATGATTATTACTTTCGGTGAAATCCACTTCCTTCAGATGTTTCTTTTTAACTTTTTTCACTTCCTGTTCTAAAGCCCATACGTACACGAGTACCAATCCCCCTGGGCGTGTTATTCGAACCAGTTCCTTTAGACCAACCAGACGTCGCTCGGCCGTAGCAAGGTGATGAAGAACTGCGATGCAGAGACATACATCAAACACATCAGTCCTGAGGGACGAAAACACGAAAAATAGACAATTCAGTTTCACGACTTTTTAATCCCTTGGCCCGTTCCTTCGCTAACGACAACTTTAACTCTGTCAACGACAAAAGCAGCGAGAAACGCACACTAAGCGAACACGTTTTCTTCCATTTGAATATTTAATAGTACAAAACCATGGTAACAAACTAGCCAATCGAAACAATGGAGAACATCAGGAGTGCTGAGAACTAAAGCGCGGGAAAACACAAGTGACTACGTCACGATCGGTTTTGGTTTTGCATTTGATCGGTGAGCACAAGTTTTTCGACAGCCAATCACAGGCCGCGGGGAGGCACAACCAATACAATCTCTGGTTACAAGCGGCAATATATTGAAAATTCCCTTATCCCCTGTCTCTCTGTCTGGCTGTCTCCATTCCACAAAAATCAATAACCATGCATTGGCCGCCCTCCTCACCTGTATGGCAATGACAAGATATCACACACAATCACAGAATATCCCCGCTCTCGGCAGATAGAAGCCAAGTTAAAACTTCTATCAGAACCTGTTTTGAATAGATTATCATTAATCCCAAGATATTTGCCGTTTCCACATCCTACATCCGCCACCAGACTCCCGACTGGTTGATTCCGCAGAAAGTCTGCCACTTTTGGCCAAGGGCTGTGCCGTGTTCCACTGAAATGTGGCGCAATCTTTTCGTACACTTCGTGCACGTGGAGCTTTTCCAGATTTTGCGCTTCTCCAATCGTTGTTGGAACACTGGACGGAGGCGAGAGTTCGGGAGCAGTCTTGCTTCCAGTTTGCGAATCACACTGAGCTGAGAAGGCGCAGTCACACGGAGTGTGGCGGACTTTGCGAAGTGTTAGCGAAATCCTTGTTTGTCTTTCAAACAGAGTAGTTCCTTCTTCGGCTCTTTTATTATGAGTGCCCTCTGCAATGACTGTTTCAGGTTCCTTGGAGATTTTAACGTAACCAGTCCCCTCGTTTGATGTACTTTTGGCATCATGTATAATATCGTATTTTCGAGGTGTTATACTGCAATTTGAAGACAAGAACATTTTGTTCCCACAATACGAGCATATAGTAAGAAGTGAAAGATATACGTGTCTGTTGGGATTCAAATTTATTTCTCTTAAATTGAATTGTTAGAATAGGGAAGGCAAAAATATTTAGGTGTTTTCCAAGTTCAGAAGAAATATATCCACGTTCCACTCTTATTTTCCCCCTTTGAAACAAAATTACGCTACGTCACTACAGTTGAGTCGTGTGCTATCACCGCTGTGGCGGGTCAAGTTAGCTTCTTCTTAAAGTAAACCACAAAATATTAGTTTGATAGGACAAAAAAATATCGAAATGGAAAGAAAAAGCCAAAAAGGATAAAGCATATTTTAAGAATCAAGACGATTGACGCGTGTTGCACAAACCAAAGTGTACAATTTAGGCGAGATGTTTCGAGATACACCAGCCATAGCAAGCGCCTTTAACACTGAGTTCCTGGAGCCAGTCTAAAACAGTAGCTGTGTTCAACTGGATTTGTATTTCTTCCGGAAATGACTTTATCCTGGTGGAAAGCGGTCCATCTAAATCTTACCCGTGACTCCAAAGATATCTGCTTTCACCAGTCATGACCAATAAACTTCTCCTTGGTAAAACAACTGGCACGTGTCTACCATCCGGATGACGAAACTCCATTGTGACCTGATGCAATCAAAAATACATAACATAAAATACACTGAGTTTTTAACCAAAGCACTTCTATGGGATGGCTCTTGTTTCAAAGTTGAATTAGGATTTTGAGTACAGAGAATTTTAGAATTTAAAATTTGGAATTAGAAAAAAAAGGATTTAGCCGCAGCACTCTCACAGGGTGGCTCTATGTCAAGTGACCTGAGGTCAAATAAGCTTGTTGAACATTGATTTTGTGGAGAGAGGGAAATTGGCAGACCCAGAAAAAAATCGTCACAGTGAGCATAGGAAAAAAAGATCAACTCTATCCTCATGTGACATCATCATTGCCCAGGAGTTGAACCCAAGTCACAGAGATAGGAAAACGTGTTCTCACCACTGCATTACCCTTACTCCACCGACAACCTCATTCTCAAGGGGGGTGGGGAGGGATGGGCTGGGGAGGGACGGGCTGGGGAGGGACAAGAGAGAGCCAGGATATAAGGGAGGTACCTTCAACTACAAACGTCACTCTTGGTGCTTTGGCAGAGGCGTTTCTTCACCCTCTGCAAGGAGTCTAGCACTGATAGTAGCACTCATTTTTAGTGCAGGAGCTCCAGCTACTCTCTCCACCAATGTGTATCATATACCTTTGTGATTAGAAGTAATGTGCAACCTGTAGTGCTCATAATGAGGGCCTACTTACAGGCTAGAAACTGTGTCATTGAAAACCTACTATAAGGAAAATACCTGAGATCCAAGGCTGAGTGAAACTATTCCATCTTCAAAAGCAGAGTGAGTGTCAATGTGAGGTGGAATACCTTCCGCATAAAAATAAAAATAAAAATACATTTCTAAAAAAGTGATTTGAAATATATTTACTAATATATCCAGGGAGATAATGCAATTTACTAATATATATTACTATGTTATGGAGAGCGCCCATATTTTTCTAGAGTGCGTTGCGTTACGTAATTATTAAAAATAGAACGAAGAAGTTTCTAGAACATTTAGTCATGATGACTAAGCGAGAACTTTAAGGAGAACCTTCTAGAACCGTGACTCAGCATATTTTTGTTATGATGTAATCATAGTGTAATGTTTCTAAAAATAGCAATATTACAGATCTCTAGAACATTCTAGAACTTTCTGAAAGATATATAAGAAGTCACGCTAGCTTAAAGAGAGAGACCTTTTAGTGAGCTATAACTGCTGTTGCGAAGAGCCCAGAGGAGCGAGAGCCGGACAGAGTTGTTTACTGGAATTGAAAGCCGTGTGGAAGGCTACGTGAGAGAAAGAATTACGGACGTCGACAATTTGTTAAAGATTTTCAAGAGAACTGTGAGTTGTGCGGTAGTACACTGAGATTTAAGTGATATTATTTGTAAAGGGCTCTAAGTTATAAGGTTACTGATTGTATTAGTATTTATATCGCTCCGTAGCTAAGTGAAAAAGATAGTTATTGTACTGGTTGTCGATATCGCTTCGTAGTTATTACGTCAGTCAATAAAGTAGTTGAGTTGTACGAGTTATATCTTTCTGGCGGTTTGGAAAATACCGTAACAACTAATATATATTACTAATATGTCCAGGGAGATAATGCAAGTAATATTTGTTTTACTGAAAGACTGAGCAAAGTTGGATGTGTTCAGCCAGTCTATCCTAACCAGAATTGCATCTAGTGTAATATACAAAGACAAGCTTAAAATAAAAACTGCCATAGAGGCACATGTTTTTGTTTTGTTTTGCAGAGGCAAAGCCTCCAAGAGAGGTACTATGGCCTTGCCAATTGCAGGTTTCTACTACCACCACCTTTTTCACCACATTCATGTTACCACAAAGGCTCTAAAATTCCCTGCTTTTTAAAATTTTTCCTAGGTAACAGGCTTTTTCTAAGGTAACAGTTGGTATGAATTGCCTGTTTCATTTCAACTTTGATTTTCACATGTTAAAGCTGGAAATTATTGATAACATCTCTACATTTCTACCTTTAGTCTGATTTGTTGAAGGAAACCTCATGAGCTTTTTATTTTCATCATCTGCTTAAAGGTAGTTTTCCCCTTTAAATAAAATTTAACTCTAAAGATTCAGTTCTACCTTGGCCTGGCTTGTATTCGTTAACTGTCATTTGATCTGGTTTGAACATGACTTTCTCCTGGACACGATCCAACAGTACGTCACAAACACCAGGAAAACCATCAGGTAAAGGATTTGATTTGTCTACATTATTTGATCGATACAAAAACTCGTAGCCAAAATGTTTGACTCTCCTATGACGAAGTTCCTGATTTGCTGTGAAAGAAGAAGAAAGCTTCTTATATGACTATAAAAAGGATATCTAATGAACCATTTTTTGTAGACACTTCTGAAAAAAGTTGTCAAAAGGGTCCACCTCTGAAAAAAGTTGTCAAAAGGATCTAAATATTGTTGGCTTCCTTGAAGAAAATAATCAACCCTCCCTATACAATTACCTGCCATCCTCGGGGGATGGGGTGGGGGAGAAGGGCGTGGAGAAATGGAACTTCTTGTTCCTAACGTTAATACTTGATCAAAACATAGTACCTGTGCCTTGAATCTCAACCTCATTCCCTTCACTTCCCCATCCCAGTACTTGAATTAACTGCTCCTCTTCTGCCTCCGTCACAAAATCATCCACTAACACAAGACCTGATGGTGTGGCCTGTTTTTCAAACGAAACATCATCGGGTAAATTTGTGAGGAATGAAAGGTAGAATCTGACGTCGGGTCTCGGAAACTCTGAAGGACAGTCTAAAACACGACCGTGCACTTTTTCCATTGCCTTAAGTGATTCACTGACATGCTCAAAGGTGATAAATGAAAAGGATCTACCAGGGAACATCAGAAGCCGCTCTATGTTTCCAAACTTCTGAAAAAAGTTGAAAATTAGCTTTCGGTCTATGCCACACATAAACCCTCCATTTCCGACCATCAGATGGCGAGTGGGCGATTCTGAAACTATGGCAAGTTCGGAATTATTCCTGCGAAGACTATGAATTAGTCTCGTCTGCTTTCTCAGCGCCTTTTTTTCTGCTTTGGTCAATTTTGTTGCACACGTTTTCATTGCATTCGATGTCGCCATCTTGGATTTTAAATTTAGCGAAAAAACCTCAGACCTAAGTACTCGCTGGCTCTGTGATCTCAGCTGGCGGGACACATAACCCACTTGGCGATACCCTGGAAAATTACTCGGATATTTTGAGGTTCAGTGGAGGACAAGTGACATTTATGCAGTGTAACGCAAGATTATCCAGCATACGGAAACACATAAGCCCAGAAAAGGTTAGTTGATCTGCGCACTACATAATGTTCCCATATGACTTAGAAAATTGCAACTAACGCTGTATGCTAGAAGTCACTAATGCACTATTGATCAGTTAGAGTAAGTTTTAGATGAGCAACATAAAACAAAATGCCAGAAGACGCTTCAAAAACCAATACCTAACATGTTGTTTGTGAAAATGAAACAAGAGAAACGATTTTATGGGAAAAATATCAGCTGTTGGGGGAGATCTTTTGTAACAGCGTATACCGTGCGCCTGTAAGGGAGCCCCCCACTCTCCCCTCCCTCTCTTACATTGATACCTATATACTCAGTGGAAAGTGCAAAGAAGAATTGATCGTGATAATTTATTTAAAGTGTTGAGCTGTTATATCTTTTCATATGTAGCCTTTTGTTTCATCAGTAATCTGAAAGGTGACCTACCCCTTCTTTCCCATCTCACAAACTGCCTCTTAAACCATATTCCTATCCTCTGAGGGATCAGAAAAACACTCAAGGTATGTCTAGGGAAATGTTGGTGTCCTTCCAATCTTCACATTATATGATATTTTCAGTCCTACTGTAGTACCATTATGAAGAGTGAAAAAGTCACCAAAAGTTCTCTGCATCTTGCTTCATCTACACAGTATATAATCTTGTCTCCTGTTCAAAGTTAAGGTTGGGAGAGGGAGAGAAAACGTTTTATGGCTGTTAGTTAGAACCCAACTGTCTTGAACATAAGCTTCTTTAATGGGAAATTTGCATCATCCTTTCTGGACCTATACATTTCTTTTAGATAGTCCTGCCAATCTCTGTCTTGAACACCAGCTTACATAACGGAAAATTTTCATTATCCTTTCTGGACACATACAACATCTGTTCTATATTTAGGCAAATCTATTTGTTAACCCTTTACACCAAAACATCAGTTTCCAAGTTCTCTATTCTTGCTTTCTGAACATTTCCTATGATATAATCGTACTTACAAGGAGAATATGCTTCATGATCAAGAACATCTTGACCTTGCAAATAAATACATTAACTTAATCAAAACTTAATCCTTTAACTCCCACCAATGACAAGTGTCTAATTTCTCCCAATAGTGTTCCCCCTGAATCTTAAATAAACTAAGTTAATCCTATTCCATAACTCAGTGATACAATGCCATTGGTGGTACTTAACTCTGCTGTTACTTTACAAGAGAATAAAGGCTGATAGTTTCGAAAGAAACTGTTTGGGGCTGCATAGGCGGGAGTAACGAAATAATTTGGATATATCAACAAAGTTGAAATGGTAAATTGGCCACCGTAACGATTACAAAAGCTGACGTTTCAAACATTAGCCCTTCGTCGGAGCGAAGGTTGCAAAAGTGTTGACTTGGGAGGGAAGCACTTCCTCTTGGTAGTGGTTTTACTCTTTAATGTTAACCCTGACTTAAAATACTGTCTCTGAGTAGGTCTCCCTCTGGAGCCCAATTAATGTTCAGAGACACCAACCTCTGGAGATCTCAAATCTAGAGATTTGTTTTTATGGACCACCAGCACCCCCCCAACTGAATTTGCCTATGCAACCCCCCCCCCAAAACAAAAGTTCAGACTGTGAACCTTCAAGTGTCAGTGAGCATATCGAGCAATTTCATGGGAAAAATGTGGATCTATCTGTCAGGGATTTCAATTGGTCAAATACTCATCCAGTCAGACTCTCACTTAGATAGGTGTAACAAAGAAGAAACTCTCTTTTTTGTTTGCAATTAATGATGTGCATTGCGCAAGAAAATGAAGTCAGAAGCCGTAACACAAGCATAAGAAGCCAAATGATTTTGGAATTTTGGAACATGTGGAGCTTAAATCATGTTTTTTGTGGGCAACTGATCCAAACTTTCTTTTATCTGGGAGTTTTGGTCAACCATATGGGAGAGCGGGAAATTAGCTCTGTATCCAGGAGACTCCCAGATAGTCCAGGAGAGTTGGAAGATATGCTATTGTTTTGGCATCAATTGAGGTAACTTAAGGAATCCTTTGTCCATTTTCCTTAAGCCAGATCTCAAGAATGGTATGCCTTTCTGAGGGGTAACAAACCTAGATATGCTCTTTTCATAACCACAACAAGATCATCATTGAGATGAATGTAGAATTTGAATAAGACATCATCCAGTTTCTCTGTTTGCAGTTGCAGAAAAAGGTCAAAGCAGTTCTCTAAAAGACTTGCATCAAAGCAAGAAAAAAGTTTTTAATCAGTAGAGAAATCTAATTGCCCCGAATGAGTATTTTTTTTATGCAATAGATGGTTTAAGGTCAGAAGTTACAGTTAGTTGTGTAGTCTGATCAAGGACTGAGAAGGAATTTAATGAGAAGCAGTGACTGATGCTTTGCTGATAACCTGAATGGAGGTTATTATCAGAGTCACGTGATGTCATTTCTGGTGTTAAGTGCATTTGGTGAAGTTGCTTGACTTAGACAATGTCTTCACCCCAGGTTTTCAAAATGTCAGTCACTGTTACAGACTCTCTTCACCCACACGATCAGACTACATGACCAACCATTCAAATTATCTGACCCTGCCGAGGAGGGCCTGGGTTTTAAATTGAATACTCTTCTTGTGAATGAAACCAAAAGGAATCTGAAGCATTTTTATTGATCTACTGTTTGGGTTTAAGTATGAAAGTGTTCAGTGCAGTCTTACACCCTTTGCATGTGGAAAAAAAATAAGTTAAATTTTTTATGGCTCATTCTTTGCAGAGAAAGTTGAGTATGAGCTGTGTCAAATAAGCTAAACTGACTGTTTAAAGTTTAATAAATCACCACGAAATGAGTTGAGGAAACTTTAGGCATTTGCAGCTAAAAGAAAGCTGCATAGTTAGTCAATATAAAATTGGGTTGTGTCAAGCAAAACAAGGCGGAGAGAGGTATGCAGGGCTCTGGCACTAGTGCTAGACCCCTGCACGCGACTTTGGCAATTCCCTCCCACGCTATTGTGACTTTAACTTCAGCTTTTCCTTTAGCTTACATAAAATGCTGAAGATGCTATCGCTTTCTGCTTAAAGTATTGAAGGGGAAAAAAACGGATCTAAAACTTTAAGCCGGCGCAGGAATCTTACAAATGTGGCAAACTTGTAGTTTCCATGCCAACACATTATGCCGCAGCAAAAACACGACGGGAATTGACAGCTGAAGGGAGTTATCTTCGTATAGAACCAAATTCCTTTCATAATCTATAAGGAATGAACAGAAGTTAGAGAGAAGACCTTCTTATCGTCAGATCAGGAGTTGTTCACGACCTGGCACTTAACAAAAGAAATATCTCTCGCAACCATCAAGAATAGTCCATTAGAACTGGTGTTATAGAAGCAGATATGAGTAGTGCTTCCGAGTGGAACCTGAAATTCTGATAAATTTAGCCCGTAGAAGCGTGGTTGGAAATTTTTCTGCGACAGTAGCTTGCAATAGTTTGAATTTCCGAACGGAACGGAATGCTCAACAGTTCGCTTTAAAATGCTCAAAGGCCGAGACGGATCACAGCCGTTTTTTCTTAAGTATCTATTATTGTATAAATTATTTAAACCGTTAAGGCGCATTTTCCTCTCGCATCACTCGCGCCATTTGTGTCCTTGCATTATAAAAATATGCGTGAAATTTTCCTGTTTATTGCGAGTAGTGAGGTCACACTGTTAAAAAAAAACTTGCTTTCACACGTCAATCTACGAAATAGGAAAGAACTATATATAGCGGAACGAAAACTTAAGGCGATTTGGTAAGCATCTGAGTTTTTTCAGCATTTTTCTATATTGCGCTCTGGCTGGTAAAATGCGGCGATTTTATCTTGTTTTATGTCGATAGATTCAATTTAGAGGGACGTAACTACTTGCGGTTGGGATAACATAGATTACTGCCAGAATGTCTCTGTTTAAATAAAGCAGACTCGAAGATAATTGAGTTAACTCAAGGAATTGCATAACACTGCAGTTGTAGAAAAATGTCATTAGAACATGATATTAGAATTGACACGACAGAAACTTTTTAAGAAGCTCACTTTTTTTAGGCTTGTCTTTCAAACTGAAGAGTTGTTCCCAACGTACTGTTGCAGTTCCAGGTAACTATGCGTGAAATGTGGTCAATTCCAAATTAAGTTTGACCGTGAAGCACACGAAAATGAAATCTGCCACATCAATCTAATTTAATAAAATGTTATTTATAGCATTTGCAAAACACCTAAGACCAAAATAATTGGTTAGAAAAAAAAAAGAGAAGTAACACACCTACACTTTTTTCACTTTTTCTCCTGTCTGAGCTAAAGAAGAAAAATCTTTTGTGTCCTTTGTAGATAGTCGTCGTGTACGACTTCAAACAGATGTTAAATCTGGTCAAACTTTAGGATGACGGTATTTCAAAAGGTTTACACGTAATCTTACATGATACCGAAAAAAGTATTTTAACAAACTAATACTGATAATTTCCACTCGATTGAGTTCACAATGTCTAGATCTTCAGTCTCTGCGGAAATATTGTCGAACTCTGTTTTTAGCCGGGGGTAAAAATATATGAGCGATATAGTAAGTGCTTGAAGAATTTACTCTTTGCATTTTGCAATGATATTTGAAAACGTTGTTCCCGTATTGGCTTTTATCGGATTTAGTTTGTAATAAGTAGGCGCCTACATTATGGCATCGTTTTAAAACGTTTTTCGAGGGCGTGCACAAACCACTCGGAGCAATCAGTAAATGCTTCGAAACAACTGCCCTTACATTAATCTACACTGTTATAGTGCTTTGCAAATTTAAAAAGTGTAGACCTGATTCTACTGGTACGGTTGAATCGAAAGAGGAATCGTCATTGATGCGGCTACGCTTTAAGCTTTTTTCGCATAGCAGTATTTTTGTTATAAATAGCAGCATTTTTCTAAAGGCAATATCTTGACTCGTGTACTCGGAAAGTAATATTTCTCTGAAACACATCGTCGCTGTATTAGCCCATGATTGGATTTGGACAATAGCATTATTTGACTTCCCCTTGTCCGAACGTTAAAAAGCCGTATTTGTCGAATAGTGTCATGTCGTATCAAGCGGAAACTAAACTTGAAACATATTAAGGACTAACAGCTTTCGTGGTTTGACGTGAAATCAACTGTTACGTATGCCTGACTTCTATAAGGAGCCTATTGAAAATTACATTTTATTTAATTTTAGTTTTTTGTTCAAGCTTCTCGTTTAATATATTGTCCAAATTGTGAAAACTGACGTTGATTTTCTTGTAGAGCCAATATCTTTTCTTATGAAAAGTTCAACCATATTGTTAATTGTTATACATGTCAACATAGTGTATTCGTAGTCGCTTGTCTATTTTTCGATTAATTACAAGAAGATATGATACGACAATTCTCTGTGTGGTAATATAACTTGGAGTCACAATAGATACGACGAAAAGAAATCAATATTGACTAAATGTTATCTTTTGGAAAATTACCTCGCAATTGTCTCTGAAAACGTTAGTTATGATGGTCTGGATGTGAGCGAAAGCTGTGAAGATAGCCGGAAAACGTTTGTTAGATCCGTGTTTTCGTTTAAGCTGACACCGAGTTTTATTCGAGGTTATCTAGTAATGATATCAAAGTCAACCATACTGGAGATATTCTCCGGAAAGGGACCTAATATCGTTGACTTCCCACTCGACCTTAAAAAAAGAGCAGGTATTTGATGTAAGCTTTTCGGCACCACAGAAATAAGTCTCTTGAAATGAAGAATGAAGATTAAGTTATATTGGACCAGTTGTTACCAAACCTTTACTGTAAACCACGCCAAAGAATCTGAAAATCCTTTTATCGTTATGAAGGTGGACAGCCCTTCAGGTTTGTTTAAGTCATCTGCATCTTTTTCTCTGGTGGATAACTATGTTATAGCGGTAAATAGGGGTTTGTGCGATATAAATAATCTTCCCAAGGGTCTACGATTGCTGGTGAGTGTGTGACATCACTATATATTGCCCGGCATCAAATCATCTTGAAGTCTTGCTAGCGCGAATACGCGACAACCTCAATCTCCGCGCGATAATGGACGAAGAAACAAGCTCAGTTGTTCTCCTTCCCGAAGTGAAAGTAGAACCTATGGAAAACCCGGAAAATAATGGTGACAGTGAAGAAAGTTCGGTTGGAAGTCCAACGGACGAAAATTCGCTCCCCCGTTTTGGTGAAAGTTCAGAAGAAGACATTCAAAGGTTGTTGGAGCATCGCTCTTGTAGTGAAAATACATGGAGGTCCACAAAAAATGCCGTGAAAATTCTCCGCGACTACATGGAAGAAAAAAGTATGGATGTTAACTTCGAGAACTTGGATAAGGCAGCGTTGAATGATCTTTTGCGTAAATTTTACGTCGAAGCCCGCAAAAAGAACGGCGACTACTACAAGTCTTCTGCTCTGGGAAGCATACGCTTTGGTATCCTGCGGTACTTACAGTCACAACAGAGCAATATAGACATCAAAAATGACCCTGAATTTACCGAATCAAACAAAATTTTTAAAGCTCAGGTGGAGAAGCTCAAAAAGCAAGGCAAAGGCGAGGTAAATCGTTCCGACATTGGCCCAGATGACCTAAAGAAGCTTTACCTGAGTGATGTCTTGTCGCCATTCAGCGCCGATGGCTTGCAACGGAAAGTGTTCTTTGACCTGCTCATGTATTTGCCTGGAAAACGGAATCGTAGTAACGTGAGAGAACAAACCCGGGACACGTTTCTCGTGGGCTATGATTCATCTACTGGCTTGAAGTATATTTATCCTAACCCAGCACATTGTGAAAATGTTTTTACCGATGGAAAATGTCCTCGAATGAATGAGAAACCAGGTAACCTTTTATTTTTTTTTTTTTAGAAAACAAGCGAGAGTATTCAAAACCTTATAAATATTTTCGTAAATCGAGGCAAATTTTGTTTTTGGGGCTTGAAAACGATTTCTTACAAGAACTTTTCGAAAGCAAAGAACGCGTCAACAAATAGTATACAAAGTCGTTAAAAAGCGAAATTTCGCAAGTAAAATCTCTTATAATAAGAGTGTTTGGTTGCAGTTGGAACAAGGTCTCTTAAACATATCTATATTGAAATTTTACTTTCACGTTAATTGATGCATGCCTCTCCAATTGAAGTTTGTGAAAGCTTTCTTATTTTACTGGGTTATGTCCTACAAAGTGGTTCAAAGTTAACCACCAAAATGAAATAACTGGCTTGGCAAAGTTTTATGACTTCAAACGTTTTTCACTGTTTGGTGGAAGGGAAGGAAGCTATTTATGTCAGTAGCATGAGGAAAGTTTTGTTCTGACAAAAAGATGGTCTAATATTTTGAAAGGATTTTGAGTCTAGTTCAAAACACTTCAACCTGAAATTCACTAAACACATAGTAACAATATAAATTACAAAACAAGCTTAAAGAAGGCACATTTGCTTAAGAGTTTAGGTGAATCAGATGTCTGCTGAGGCCTCACTGAAAAAATCCTTGTTATTTTGAAAAGGGTCAGAGAAGGATCATGGCATTTTTCCTTTCACCCTTCCCCCCCCCAAAAAAAAAAAATCTCTTAAAACTTGTCCAATAATGGTATGCTGTGATGTGAGAGAGAGCATGATTTGTGCCTGGTAATTGAAACTATTTAATTGTAAGCTATTGTCCATAAGGCGAGTTGAGCATTATGAAACATGAGCTTATGAGACCTAAAATATATGTGGTGTCTCTGATATTATGCAATACTTTAAAGATGCTTGGTTGGAGAATACTACTTGTATGTTGATATATTGGTTTTGAAATAAAGGAAAGGATTGTAAGATGAGAAATATTGCTTTCACCCCACCCTCCTTCAGGAAACCCAAGATGTCCGGTGGCGTCATTTCTGAAGTACCTGTCGAAGCTGAACCCAATGAACTTGTACCTATGGCAGAGACCAAAGGCATCCTTCAAACATCACGCTTGTGAAGATGACCCCATTTGGTATGAAAATGCTGCAGTTGGGCACAACTCCTTAGGGGAAATGATGACAAATATGTCCAAGCTTGCACGGTTGTCCAGAATTTACACAAACAACTGTATCAGAGGTACTTATGTGGCAATTCTCGACAGCTTGGTCGAAGACTACCCTCTCATCACTACTTTAGTATCCATACCCAGCTCCCAAAGATTCCAACATATTCTCCCCAGAGATCCTTGTGATGAACGTCCAACCATGGTGCCTGTTACTGGAAAGTATATCTCAAGTTCAGAAGGGAAAACATCCCCAAGAACCAATGAAGGAGCCCCACCATCTAGTGCAGAGTCCAATAGAGAACAGGCTCAACTCACAAAGATAATGGTTCCAGGGAATTTCTCTCATCTCCAACACCACCCTGGCAAGACAAGAAATTCTCCTCCTCAAGAAAGTAATGGAATTGATCATCGTGAGAAGCAAAGGGATGGAGGCCCAACAAGTCCAACAGAATCTGTTCTTGGCCTTCCATACCATTCCAGTCATAGAAATCTCCACAGTCCCTTTGTTGCGTACAGATTTTCTCAGCTTCATGCAGCTTCCCAAAATAACCTAGCACGCAATCTGCACCAACCATCACCTAAGACTTCTCTAAGTTTATCTCAGGGGTCAGTAACTCGGGCAGGAAGTAACCATGCAGGGCTTGCAAATTCAAGAGTTGTTTATTGTCAAACATTGCCAGCAATGGCCTCATCATCAACGTTGTCACTCACTGCGGTAAGTGGCCACAAAAGACACATTTCCTCTGTCAGTAATACAAATTATAAACTGTTCTCTTACTCCAGTGTGCAAAAGTTTACCAAATGGGTTATATCCTAAGCCATGACACTACAAAGGGTGGTCTCTGGGTTGTATTGTGAACTTTAAAACATATCTTTTTATGTTCACAACATTAGTAATTTACAGTAAGTTATGTATGATGCACAATGTTTCCCAAAATATGATAATAACAAACATGCAAATGCAATTAAAATCATATTGCAATTTAAAGTAAATATTAACAATCAAAAGGTACTTTTTAAACATGCTGGTAAGAACAAATTAGTTAGCTGCCTACAATTGTTTTTTTTTTTTATGTGGCCCTGACTTAGTTACACACACTTTTCACTTGAACTCCTTACTAAGTGACATGTAGATGACTGGTTGTTTCTGTGACTGACAGCATCGCTCAAGTGATAATAGTCCAATGACAGGAAGTCCTCTAACCACTCATGTGCTGGACACAGCCAGAGGTTCACCAGCTAAGAACTTGCCAATTCAGTTGTACTTTGAAGAAATGCGTCCAGACAGTAGAATGTGGAAACATATTACCTCAGGGTAAGACAGACTTAATTCAGTTGTTCAATTTTGAAACTAATAGTGGATTGATTTGGATTTGCTTTACCAGTCTTTACTCTTTTACTGGTTAGAAAAGGTGCATTTCCCTCACTGCCATCAAATGCAAAACTCAAAAGTCCAGTCACAGCTTGGTAACTTCAGTTTTTGCACACTTCAAGCAATTTGCTTGTCTTTACTCTGAGTTTTCAATTGTTCTTTTTTATATTTTCATTAGCCCTTGTTAGCCATTGTTATCACTGTTAACTTGGTTTTACAACAATCAATAAAAAAGGTAGACTCTGAAACATCAATCAAATATTCAATACATCGAGATCTAGCAGTACATATACTGATAGTTATTGAAAAAATTTATTCGCATTTGGTGTTTATTTTTGAACTTACATTTTGTGAGTAAACCAACTTGGAATGTTTTTGCTTTATTTTGACCTTTTCCTTCAGGGTAACTAATGCTGATGGTAGAGTACCCAACTTACTAACTCAAGAACAGTTTATACCTGGTAAATACATGATCAGATTTGAGACAGAGGCATACTTCAAGGACATTGGGGTTTCTTCATTTTTCTATCCATATGTAGAGGTAATGAAAGCGTAAAATACTGTTATTTAAAATATTCACATCAACACTGATTCTAGGCATTGTCCACATTATGCTGCACTTCTTCCCTATATCTAGAGGTACAATAATCACAAATTTGCTGTGCTGCAAATATATTGGTACTCATTAGTTGTGTCTACATTCTTCCATCAAACATTGCAAATTGCTTCCCCAAGTTCATGCAGAAAAATCCCTGTAGATATCAAGAATTTCCAGTGTCTTGTAAGTCAACAACTTCCTTCAGCTTCATAATCATTATGGTAGTTGAACTTAGGGGAGTGCAATTCAGTCTGCGATCAAGTGTATGTTTTAAACATGAAACAAGCATACAATACTAGGTTGATTTAATATTGCAGGCACAGATGACCTCAGCAAATGAATTATCTGCTCTCTATTGACAGATCACAATATTTTGCTCAACTTGTCCATTGTTCTTTTTCAGATCGTGTTTCTCGTCAATGACTCATCTCAGCACTATCATGTTCCTCTTCTTCTCAGTCCGTTCTCTTACTCAACCTATCGTGGAAGCTGAAACCTCATGTGGGCTACTTCAAAGTGGATACACAGCTGATGATTGTCAGAAAAATGACAAGCTTGTTTACAAAGGCAATTTCTAATTTTGTTATTGGTGTAGGCTGGTGTAAATTTAGGGACAGGTCTTGTTTGGTTCATTTTAAGATACAGTTGCAGATGTTTTCTTCCAAATTTTTCAAGAGCTACAACAGAAAGCTTTTGGCATGTTTGTTAAATAAAGTTATACTTTTATTGTATCTTTTTAATTTTTGTTATTCAGACCCTATTGATACAAGTTCACGGTTTAACTCTAGCTGATATAATGTTGGGGTGTGACTAGAACTTCCATGAATTTTCATATCTTATCACAACTATCTAAAATGGTCTAGATTAAGCCTGATAAGTGACATTAGTCCAGCATCCTTTCACTGACCTTTGGCAGCCTCATGCTTGCTTAGATTTGCAGGGTCTCAATAGATAAGGCTTGCGCCTGTTGCTATTTTCTCTCACCTTAAAGCTTTGTGCCACTGTGTCCTAGTAAGATATCAGACATGCAGAACGAGGTAGATTTAGTGTTTCCAAGCTCTCAATCAGGGAGGAGAAAGTGGACCCAATGCTCAGAAAACTGTAATCTCTTATTTTTCACACTAACCATGGCACTAGAACCTTTTAGTTGAGCTGCAAGGTTCTAGTTCTGGGACCAAACTGGTCTACATGGCTTTAAGTGCCTGACCATGCACTTAGGAATATTCTGATTTGCTTCTAGTTTCTAAGCACAAATTACTCCATTTAAAAATAAATTCAAGGTGACTGTTGGTATTCTTTGCAGCCATTATAAGACTTGTTCAGACTTTTTTCAGAGGGAGACAGCAACCGAAGAAGGTTAATACTAATTCTAGTGTGCTTTAATGCTAGTAAATTGACTGTGTGGTCATCATTTTAACCCTACTTGTGCTGACCAAAGAGGTGCCACTGATATCTTAAGAAAAGTTTACCCTATTTGGAGCAAACATTGGGGAGACAAGAAGATATTTACCAGACACTTGAACACCAAACAAATCAGATGGATAGAGATAACTCTAAACAATTATGTCACTTTGTTGTTGGACAAGAAATGAGATTCCATTGAAGTTGGTTGACCTTTATTTAAGTTAGTTGATTGTTACTTAAACTTTCCTTACAATTTGTCAACAATAACAGTTTTAAATATGGCTCCAAAAAGATAAAATTATTTTCAGTGAAATAAACATATTCAGATAATTTCTTATGTACAAATGTATAAAATTGGTATGTACAACTTTTCAAGGAAACTTAAAATTATAACTTATTGAATGGATTGCTTTGAAACTCGTAAAAATACTTGTGCAACCAAATTTATTTGTTCAAATTATAGTAAACTAGTCACTTAAAATTGCACAGTTTCGTCATTCCATCAGTATTCTCTACAATAACTACAAACAATTTTTAACAGCAGAAACTGTAAGAATGAGTATTGATTATCCATTATGCAGTTCATATGAAAATTTCAACCACATTTTCCTTAATTCTTATCCCTCTTCTTACTTATTGCTCTTGGAATTAATAATTTAACCAGATCATCCAACAATAAATATTGATTTATGAAAGATCATCTTTAGAGAAAAAATTTACTACAGCCTCATAAGTTAAAAACATTAACGCAGTGTTTGGAACTTGTCGGAGAAGGTGTGTTCCCAGTCCACCATAAAGTCCTGTTCTTCCTTCCTCAAGCAGAATTTTTCTAAAAGCCTGGAAGAATGAGTGATATCTTCTTTTTCCATCTACTTCTTTTTGTCGTAGTCGTGTTCTGATTACTTCATGAGGATATGCCATAACAGAGGCAATACACTTTGACGTTGCAGCAGCCATCATAAATTGCAAAAAGTCCACTACATTTTTCTCATGAGTCCCTCTCAATTTGAAACGATGCCTCTGTACTTCTGCTTTGATATGTTCATAGATCACAAAGTGAATAACAGTTTCTGTAACACCAATGTAGGTTGCAGTCAGCCCTCGATAGAAACCCTTTATCCCATCAGTTTTCCATATATTCTGGATAAGTTTCAATACTTGCCCCTTGGAAGCCCTGAAATGGAAACAAACAAATAAAAATGAAGCCCAGCTCTGTATTTTATTTGTAATGTTTCAAGGAAAGATGTAAATTTTCGAAAACACTGCTTGCAACATAAATGCTCCTTATTCTCCTTTACAATAAGTGGGGCTGTTTAAATATGTAAAGATTCAGTTTTTTACCTATTATCCAATTGCAGTCTTGTCTTGATGACCCAGAGAGGACTTGTCAATGATGAAGTCACAATCCCTGAATTAAATTAAAAGGATTAATACAGGTACAAACAACTTTGTTTGCAAAAAAAGTAACTGCAACTGTTGATAGCATCAAGTGCTACACAATGGACAATGCATTTATCCACTATTAAAAGCTAAACATTCCTGTTGATAAAGTTTTTCTATGCCATTAGAAAAATAAGACTCACACCTCACGAGATGATACTTTATGAAAATTTTAGTTAAAACACACCTGCTGAGCAAGCTGATCCTATATGTACAACTTTGCTTTCTGGTGACACAAAGCCGCTTCTGTTGAGAACATGTTTAGCTTTAGCATACACTGTGAAGTACAGTGCTCTCGAAGGGGCAACTCCAACTAATGTAGGCCCGAGGCCCTTGAATAGGGCTGCCACACCTTCCGTCTGGGTGATATGTTTTAAACAGGACAGAACACCAACAGGTCTTGAGTAACTGATCTCCACAGGAATACTCCACACCCCACCTGGACCAGTAGCTGATGGGTACAGAACATGTCTAAAGGCTGGAACTGAGGACTTAAAGAGTAAGACTAGTTTTAATGGTGAGACTAATAACAGGAAGGTATTTGTCGCACTGTTTATCATCTAAAATTTCTGTTATGTTTTATGGCTCCTCTTCAGGGCCTCTTTTTAACAGGCCAGCAATCAAGACTGCCCACTTGATTTGCATATTTTGTCGGGGAACTCTTCATCTTGGTTAGGAAGCCAACATTAAGGCCAACTACCTTTCACTAACACAAGAAATTACAGCTTGGTCACCCCAATGAAAATATACTGGGCTTTGAATTTAAGTTCCAGTAACCAGCCTATGGTGTTCAAACGTACATTTCACGTTTTGGTGCTTGGTGGCCCACCTATCCCAGTTGCCAAGTGGAAATTCTGATAGGAAAAAAAGGCCGGGTAACAATCTGAAAAACCAAACCAGCCCAGTTGACAAGACTCTTGATAAGCTACAACTCAAGTCATTCTTTGGAAGCAGACAACCATTGAACGGACACCTACATAATCCAGATCAGCCCCCACAAAAACGTGACTGCCATCCGAGTGTACTTTGCAACCATGACACTAACGCAATCCCACAAAGTACACTATCTCGCCAGTAATTTTACTTTGAGAGGGTCTGCATGAAAATAAACTCAGCAACTTTGATTGCTAAAGAGTTTAAATCACATCCTGACAAATTATTACTCCAAGTGGTACTGTGGGCTTAATTTTGTCCCATCCGCAATCGCGCGCTTTCGCAAAGATAACATGGAAAGCAAGTCTTCAAAGTTATACACAAATTGCGACATAAATATTGCAGATAGGAAAGCATGACTCTAAGATGAAAAAAAAAAAAGCTTTAAAATATATCTAAAGGCTTATATATAGGAGTTCTTGACGATTTTGGATAACCGTACCTGCAATCTCGTCTTTACAACTTCCAGAGGACAAGTCAATGTAGCACCAACGGTTCCTCCAATACTGAAGAGTGAAATGCAAAATTTGCTGAGCTTGCTAACTTACTTCTTACACTTTCAACGTTAATTCTTGCACTTTCACATTCTAGATTACTACTAACATCCACTTTTGAGAACGCACACTTATGCAACGGCGTCGCAAGTTAACAATTGTTTCACACATGATCGATGAAGTGACGAAGGCATTTAAAGGAGAAGCTTTACTCTAGGTGAATCTCTGCTAATATCGAAACTAGACCATAAACGGATGCGTTTAGAAAGCGAAAATGTATCAGACGAGCTCCTATAAGATTGATTGTGTAATCATAAGCATACGATTGACAATGTCCCATCTTCTCGTTAGGAATCTTGAACCCTTACTTCACAGTACTATATTTCTCAACAGAACATAGCTACCTTTCATGGAAAGATAGAAAATAGCACACAAAGTACACCTGGAGAGGCACGATTTTATCCACAGAAAATGGTGGACTCGTTCAAGCAAAACAACGGCCGACAGGATGTTATGGCATGTGTATTTGAAACGTTCAAACGAAGGGAAACAGATCTTGTTTCGAACATACCCTCCAGCCACTAAATGGACGTACGGGGACCTTCCTTTACTCATGTCTGGATGGATCTCGCAGTGCAAAAGATTTACTTTGGTGTCACCCAGAGTATTTTGGTAACTGGTCATGGATGGTTTTTTCTAATGAACCTTGTACTCTGTTTACTACTACAAGAATCACATGGCCATCGCTGCAGAGGGATGGCTGGACTTAATTTGATTGGTTACTCAATCACTTTCACGTGGTCTTCATTCACAAATTTGCATCAAAGGTCACACTTTTCACGTGAACATGGTGACGTTTTTTTCCCTAGGGGGAGGGATTCAAACCCTAACTACGTGACCCCGCTGATTCGTGAATTGCCGCACGTGGAAGAGACATGCATACTTTCTTCATTTTTGCATCGAATAATTTTGATTTAGGAAATTACGTAACTTTTACGACATGATGTAGAAGGCTAACGTTCAGTGGTAAAGCCAGATGAGCGGCAGAATCACGAAGTGTGTCTAAAATAAGACGCGCGAAAATATAAAGAGGTGTGTTGAGAGGTGGGGAGGGGGAGGAGGAAGGGTGCGATTAGCTCAAAACAACATGTCGTCTTTGTTCCGGTTTTCCTGAAGGAGAGTTTAGGGTACTCGTGTCACGGACAGTATCCAAAGCCTGTGTTCTACTGTGCGAATGACGCATTCGAAATACACTACAGGCAATATCCCATGTTTTGACAACAGCACGTATAAACCATGCAAGACATGCAACAAATTTCCTCCGAGTTTTTCCGGGGCTTAAAGCAGCCAAAATATCAAATCCCTTTTGTTTTATGTGGGCACAAGGTAACGATCCTAGAGTTGACCTAAAGAGTTACGAGCGTTTACGCAAACAGAAATGGAGCTATGCTATTGATGGGAACATGGTAACGTGAAGAACAATTAGTAAATGAAAAGCGTTCGTTGATACTGTTCGAATCCCGTACAGGCCTGAAATTTTTTTCAGGTCTGATTTTCACTATTGCTCAAATAGTGCTTTACTGCGAAGGATCGTGCTCATATACATTAAAAGAGATTGGTAGATAAATTTTTGTTCCAGAGTTTTGCGGATCTCCGAACTTACCTAGATGTGGGAAAAGGCCACAGACCGACATTGTTGTATATTCATTTAGTGAAGATACTCACTCTTCGGATTGCTTTCTATTGTCTCTCTTTATTCATCGATCAAGAATATGATAAGCTGGCACAATCATGTCACTTGGTTACCGTACTTTCACATCGTTCAGTAGCCCTAAAGTAATATCACTAACACTGGTACAAGTAATTTTAGACTCCTTATACTTTGTTTTCAATACATTACAGCCTCAATCTGTTTGGTTCTTAGCACAGTTCGGATTTTCCTATAATTGCTCCGAGGTAAGACGTAGTATTTTTTATGTGACATTAATGTGACAGTTATGTGACATTACTGCAATACAGATGGTTCACTATACAAGTGTTGGGAAAAATATCCAAGTTAAAAATGATTTCCTCTTTGAGACCGCATGCAGTATGTGTCGAAGGTGACTGAATTAGCGAGGCGCGATGTGTGTAACAAGTAAGTTTAACGTCGCTGTGAATCTGTCGTCGTGAAATAAAAGCCCTGAACTTGACTTGAAGAACTCAGTCAAAATGTTCATTACACCTACCCCTCTATATAATGGTGGGGTGTTATGACGAACTACGCTACCCGACCCAGATCCCCTTCCGCAATGGACTGCGGCGCGGGTTAACTGCGGGTTAACTGTAGCGAAGTGAACTTAAACCTTTTTTGTACAAAAATACCCAAAATACTTGTTCTCTAAGGACGCAAATCGAGAAAAAATGACAGACTCTTCTTTATTAAGCTTCGTTTTTGTTTTTATTTACCTTCGTTTTGAGTGAAAAGCCCTGACGAACGCCCCAAAACATGGCAGCTCTACGAGGGCCCAGCCGAGTTGCTTAAAGTGATCACAGGTTGCTTGAAACCTGTATGAAATCTAACAGGCATACTGTCTAAGGTGAGGCAATTTTTTATAAAAAAAAAATATCCAGGATCTATAAAATTCTACACTTCAAAGGCACAACAGATAATTAGTTGAAATAAGATTATTATTGGCTCTGATATGATTATTTTTTATTTAGAAACAAAATAATGAATATCAGTATATGCCCAACACTTTCCAGAACCTTGAGCAACTCACAACCCATCTTACGGATAGTTATCTGACGATGTTTTTTTTTTTTTAAGGAAGTCTTAGCTGCCTTGTTTCGGTGTCTTCGTACAGATCATGTGACTGTATCTGAGGGATTATCAACATGATCTCGAGACCGAAATAATGATTATCGTTACTTCTTAATTGGCACCAAATTAATGATTATGGTAATTTCATGACATGCGTTCTCGACGCTTTGAAATGAAGAGGAGGCTTCAGTTTTACACTCGTACAGCATCCAAGATGGCGGAAGAAGGTGCTTTCAGTTATGATGGATTATTTTGTGAGCCTCTTTGTGAAATTACTATAATCATTAATTTGGTGCCAATTAAGAAGTAACGATAATCATTATTTCGGTCTCGAGATCATGTTGGATTATTTGCAAGACGATTTTTATGTTCCAACCTCCTTCCCAGGGTTCTCAGGAAGGAATAGAGGGGAGCTTGGGAACGAAATTAATAATGCACTCCTGATATCAATAAAGAGAAGTCATTAAGCCTTTTAAGGGTTTTTTGTCCTCAGTAACATCACGAACAAGTTCTATGAAGAAAAAAATTAGGCGGTGATTTTTCAAAGAGGGAAGGGCAAGGGGTGTGGATTAAACTGTCACAACCTAATCCCCAGGCCCTTCCCCCCTTCATTTAGAGGCAAAGGAAAAAATGAAACTGAGGACTAGATTGACTGTGTCACACAGGGTACTATCTCAGTAAGTTGCGATGTAGACATACACTTTGTGATTTACTTTAATTTACTATGTTGGAGTTTTTCAGATGAGAAGTGAGTGTGAGAAAGGAACTAAGCTACCGAAAAAATCATTAATAATGGTTCCTGTTTATAATTATTATTCTGTTAACTATCTGAATTTAAAGAACCGTTTACAAAAATTTTTAAGAAAAAAAGTGCAGTTGAACCTGTATTAAGCGGTCACCCATGGAGAATGGTGGGGTGACCACTTAACACAGGTTCCACAAATTAGGGGTATCATAAAATGCCATAGACAATGCCTCTTTATGCCATAATTGACCACTAATGTACAGAATCTTGCTCAAAAATACCACTCAATATAGTTTTTGGGGGAGAATCATGTATTAATAATTACTTGAAAGACTTATTCTCAGTGTTGATTGAGTAGTAGGGCATCAAGTGATCATTCTATACAGGTAGAAGACAATACAAAGAAGCCTTTGGGATTTAATAAAGGGTGACCGTGACTGCTAAATATAGCTCAAACAATTTCAGGACTTTGGTAACCAACTGCTGAACACAGGGTGTCACTGCTTGATATAGCGCCACTTTGTACAAATTCCACTGTAATCAGGGTCATGAAAAAAGTGATTGAGAAAAGTCAATAAAACAGGAATTCTTTGCTTGAAAACAAGATTTTTTTAGCCAGGGAATAGACAAATTGTTTGAGGCTCTTTCATGGCTTGCTGGAGTTGGTAATATAGAATTATAATACAGAAAACACTTTCATGAGGTTTTCAAATATTTTGGTCAGACACCAGTTCATGTATTTGGGAACTGTAGAGACCATGTGTAAGAGTAGACATGTTCTATTACTTTCAAGTAGTAAAATTCATATTCTATCTCAACTGGAGCCCTAGGAAATAAATCCCAGCAACAAAAGTGGTAGGGCTGTAGCCCTACCC